GTGCTTTTAGGTCAGAAGTGTTTGTCACACAAACTGGCCACACCTTCTGTTTTCTATCCTCTAATAATTATCCTCTTCTTCATCATTTGTCCTTCTTTCCCATTTTTCTCTGCTGTAGGTCTTCTTCATTGGCTTGATTGTGTCGTGCTGTAAAGGCAGGAAGTCCGTGATCGAGGGGGAGGTGGACCCTGACGATTCGGATGTGAGCGACGATGAATATGTGCACTGATGGCTACGGGTCTGCTGCCTTCAGTGGTCAGTGACAACCAAAGGATTGGTTTTTTGGAGCAGCAGCGAAGGGAGAAGGTTTCCCTGGAATACATTACTTTTGGATTGTTTTCTTTTGAGTAGCTTTTGCTGTGTGTGGTTCTGTAGGTCCACATTAGGTCCCATGTTAACGGAGTGAAAAGCTCTCACAGGTCTGCTGATCCTCTCCTCCAAACATAAGCAGCATGATCATCATCCCACACCATATAAACTGAATAAAGACATGAGATATACGCCCTTAACCATGGTCATCACAGAATCCCAGACCTTATACGCCCTTAACCATGGTCATCACAGAATCCCAGACCTTATACGCCCTTAACCATGGTCATCACAGAATCTCAGACCTTATACGCCCTTAACCATGGTCATCACAGAATCCCAGACCTTAAACAGCCTCACACAAACCCAAGTCTTGAGATATGACTGCAACTGATGTCTCTGTTTTACTGCTTTTCCCCATAAATTAATTTATTTTAATATTTTCATTTTCTCTTGGTGACGTGATCACAGTGTTAAGCACAGTACTGTGTTTCTGTTTCTGATTAATGAAAGATACTGAAGTTTGTTGACATTTAATAATGTTATGTGTGTGTGAGTGCGTGCGTGTGTCTGTGCATGTGTGTGTTTTCATATGCAGATTGTCACAGCTAATAATCTTCAGCTGCATTTAATTTTTTTTCCCCACAGGAGGTACTTTGGGTTTAAAACCTAGTTTAAAGTCTTACTTTCCTATTTTCTTAACTGTCAACTGTTATTTACCAAGAATGAAATTTAACAAATGTTTGTTGAGTTAAGCTTCAATAAAAACTGACACGCCTCCTCGTGACATGATTGTGTCTGTCTGCTGGGGGACGGAGCAGGGCCCAATCACATCGCTGTCACCGGACGCCCGCATAACCTGTTTACTCAAACGTGACACATTTAGCTCTGTTTGCAAACATGAATCTGATCTATGTATTTTTGCACAATGTGGATATATCCTACTTGAAATTAAAATAATTAGTACTTTTATTTCAGACAACACCATTCATGTATTTAAAAGGTTCAGCTGTCCCGAAGGCAGTTTCCGGAGTTTTCCGTAACATGCAGAGCCTATGGGTACCTCTGCAGTGGTTTGACTGGGTAATGGCAGCTGTTGGTGTGTCACTGCAGTAGTTTCATCCTGGAGGCAGCAGGTGGAAGATCTCGCACGAGGGAAGTGACAGGTGTGGTGGCTGTAAGCTCACGCTCACAAGCCGGCTGCAGGCCATAGTGGGTGTGAAAGCTTAGGAACCATAGGACGAGGATTAAGTCGTTCCTGCTGCATGTGTGTGTGTGTGGGCAGTGTGTGTCTTAGGTTTGGATACTGTGCTTATGATCAGAAGTTGCTGGTTCAAATCCTAGATTCTTAAGCCCTTATCCCCAGTTGCTCCAGGGACGGACAGCCTGCCTGATCCTGCTTTCTTCATTGTATGTGGCTTTGGATTAAAGTCTTTGTTAAATAAAAGAAGCAATTCCTTAATGACACGACAGATGTGACCATGCCTAACAACTTTTCTTGTGATGTGATTCCATTCGCACTCGGTTTGTCTGTCGTGACTGGATCCTGTTGTTCCTAACTGCTTGGTGCTGGCCGTGGCTCTGTCAGCATGTACACGCTCACGCTCCACTTTGAGGCAGAAGCTATTCATTTGCTTCTCCAGAGGATGCATCTTCACCACGTGCATTACAAGCTCCTGTCAGACCCGTGTCTGAAGCGCTGTTCCCCAAATCCGGAATCTTCCCTCAGCCCTGTCTCTGTCCCAGCTGTAATCCTCTTACATTCCTTTGTCCCCAGGATTCATGCTTTTTAAATAGTGTATATATATATAATTCTACATCTACAGTGAGGTGACAGCCTATCACATTCAGTCCTGCTCACAGAGGTCTGGTCTGGATAATCTCTTCATAGCTAGTCATGTGACCCAGTTCACTTTCATAGGAAAGGCCTTCCCCAGCAGTGTGACTGGAAGTGGAAGGTGGTGTGTTCAGTCCAGGCCCCACTGACCATAAATCTCTGCTGGGGGTGAGGGGTGAGGGGGACGATAATTGAAACCTGCTATTACCCCCCTCCCCAAAATAGTCATATTGTCATGATAAATTGGTGGAGACTTAACCCCCCCCACCACCACCATGTTCAGCCTCAAGTTACACCCTTGCTGCAGAGCGATTTCAGTACCGATCCAGGTAAACAAGAAAAAAAAAAACATGTTCTGTCAACAGGAGTATTAAGTGCTACTGATGGTTACTCTTCACCATCCCATTAATCAGGCAGTGATGCATAAAATATGGGGTATATAGGCAGATAGATCAGATCATGAGCTGCTATATTCCAAAGGTTTTTAAAATGTAATCATCCAAGTGGGTTCTGGACCTATCAGAATTATGCTCACGACTCGAAGTGTAGCGGACTCTCTGGTTTAATACCAAAGCCATCACTGCGGAGGTAAGTCCTCAGTAGAGCAATTCAGTAAGAATGTTTGAGTGGTACTAAGCCTCTGGTTTAACACCGAAAACGTCATTAAAATTGCTAGTCCCCACTAAAGCAGTTTAGCTAGTAACTGAGTCAGGCTGAGCCTAGGGCTTAACATTGAACCATTTGTTAATACCGTTACTGCTCAATAAAGCATGTCACCCAGAGTATGTCAGCCAGGCTGAGCCTCTGGTTTAATGGTAGTAACGTTACTCCTCAGTAAAGCAGTAAGATACAGTGACGTTCTGGTTTAATGTTGAAACCATACTTAATGATTGACATCTTAACTGAAATGGTTCACCTCAGGTTACCACATAATCCATGTCAGGGGGACACTTTGAGCTACTTCAGCTTTTACAAACTGCTTTAAACCTGAAAGGCTCCTGTGCTCAGCTAAACAGTTCAGTTATTCTTGTGCTTTTACTGGCTTGTTGCCTTGACTGAAAGACTCATCCAGCTGTTTCATTAACATCAGTAACACATGCATGATTATAGGAGACTGACCAATCAGCACGCAGCAAGAACTCAGTGCTTAAGTGAAATCCGGGTCCTTTCGAGTGAATTGGTAATTTACAAATCCCGTCCTAGCTCAAAGCGACATGGATTAGGTGGTAACCCTAGGCTCACAAGACTATGAACCATAAAGTAGGACCTTCAGGACCACTGAAGGCACTGGGAGCACTGGGATTTGTGTTTCCTGCACTGCATGGGGTCATTCCATTTGGGATTTAGGATCACCTCTATCATACACGGACTCAAACCTTTTTGACCTTGATATTACCCTTCTGGAGTACTATTGAAGTGGAAATACTGTTATATTATGTAATTTTCTTCTTAAGCAATATATTTCAAGGAAGACTCTAGTTTGATTTAAAAACTTTCCTGAAGTCAACATTCTCATCTAGTAGTTCTCTGTATGACTTCAGCAGGGTTGAATTGATTAAAATATAAAAAAATGTTCTTTATATTATTTGCTCCACAAGCATGAATTTAAAAGGACATTATCGTAGCAGTTAATGAAGCCAGCATGAGAATGTGGCAGAATGCAGGCTGCTGATTGGTTAACTGGCTGATTGGCTAGCATATTTAAGCAGTATGGCTGCTGGTTTTTGGTTGAATGTCAGGCCTTAGAAAAGGTCTCTTGATGTGGGTATTAGGTATTAGGTATTAGGTATTAGGTATTAGGTATTAGGTATTAGGTATTAGGTATTAGGTATTAGGTATTAGGTGGTGCCATGCCAGTATTGTGGGTTTAGGTGGCAGGTTGGGGGGGAGCGATGCTTTGCTTGTGCCCAGCTAGTTAAGGCAGGCCTCGCTATGACACTGAGGGCCCAGTCTGGCCGCTGTTAGGCCGGGTCTGCCTGCTGCCTGCATGTTTCAATGAGCACAGAAAGCAGAGCCCTTAAATAAGAATAACTGTTGTGGTCTGGGCTGCCCTCCAAAACCTTCTGGGGGGTGTAGCTCATAGCTGAAAACAAACCCAGGTTTCAAGCATAAAATAACTGCTGATAATGAATAAACCAGCAAATTGGTATCAGTTTATTTAACCAAACTCAGGTGGAACTTCAGCTCTAACATGGCCAATAAGGGCTTTGATCTCCCATTCCCCCCCCCCTGCTGTAAAAGCATGACTGTAAAATGTGTGCAGTGGGGAGTTTGGTCCATTTTACAAATAAGCTGGCTGTCATGAAATTTTGTCTCAGAATATTTAGCACGTTTAATGCTGATCTTGTGTGTCTGACCTGAGTGCTGCATCAGAAATGAGAGCCCAGCTTGGGGTGAATGGACTGGAGGATAAATGGCTGGGAGCGGTTAGGCTCCCCAAAGCTGCTGTGTCTATACTCCTGTTGGACAGCATATACTTGCCTAAATAGTTTAAATTCAGACATCCCAGGGGTGTATATCTTAAAATTGGATAAAGTTTTATTGAAAAGATGAAAAATTTCCCTGGAAACTTCCATCTGGAATTAGTTTGGTAGGACCTGCGAAGGATTATGGGTAGTCAGTTATGGTCAGTTAGTAGTTGGTGATGGCGAGGTGGAGGTAATGACACTTCTGAGGAGATCACGGTACCTGATCTATTTGTCCAGGGCTGCATGTCTTGTGTCTGCCTATCCATCTCATGTCTGTTCCCCGCTGGGGGGGTGAGCATGGAGCTCCTCCCTTCCCTGGCTCTCAGGCGCTGGTCCAACTACTCTGGGGAGGAGATGGTGTGGGGGGGGGAGGCGTGGCTGCGGTAAATAACGTAGATGGCCGGAGAGTAATGGTTGGTAATTCATTCCCTTACAGCTCCCCAGGGGGCTGCGGAGCTGTGCAGATAAGGGCACCTCCCCGGTTTTCGAATGAGTGCCGGCAGGGAGGGATTGAGTGCAACTCCATTTTTATCAGCCTCCAAGGTTTTTGTCCCACTGCTGGGGGGGTCATTCTTGCAGCCCCTCTGATGAGTGATTTAAGCTGCACTGTAACACCACCCCCCCACAACTACGTCTACTCGCATGATGCCGATGTGTCCTTTGAAGGTCCGACGACATGCCCCCAGATTTCATTAGAGGCTTAGCGATTATGCAAAGGAACCGGTTTCTGCAGCTGGGAATTGAGCTGGAGAGATCTAGGTCAAGTGTCCCACACTAGGGTACAACAGAAAAGCCTTGTGGGACCCACAAGCTGCTGGCTCATGCTCTTAATTGGCTGTGGCCTGTTGGCCCCTATTTAATTAGTGTAGGGAGTGGCATCATGGGGCATGTAGGATTCTGGACGGGAAGCTGTATTAGTTTTTTTGGGTAGCAGAGGTTGGGATACAATGTATGTAGAGTATGTGTTATGTATTACCATGAAGAGGGGGGGGGTCCTGGTAAATCCTGCTGTTATGGGGTTCTGTGCCCACATAATGGCATTTGTAAAGTCAGTGAACCAGAAGAGACTGGAACAGACAGGGGACAAGAGCATACGAGAGTCTTTATCCTGTCATTTGGAAATTGAGTCTTTACCTTGTCATTAGGGCACACGAGAGTCTTTACCCTGTCATCAGGGAATTGAGTCTTTACCTTGTCATTAGGGCACATGAGAGTCTTTACCCTGTCATCAGGGAATTGAGTCTTTGCCTTGTCATTAGGGCACACGAGAGTCTTTACCCTGTCATCAAGGAATTGAGTCTTTACCTTGTCATCAGGGCACATGACAGTCTTTACCCTGTCATCAGGGAATCGAGTCTTTACCTTGTCATCAGGGCACACGAGAGTCTTTACCCTGTCATCAGGGAATCGAGTCTTTATCTTGTCAGAGAGTCTTTACCCTGTCATCAGGGAATCGAGTCTTTACCTTGTCATCACGGCACA